CAATGAATTAATACTCAAACAAAATAGAGTAATGGGCCTGTCATTATCTGACACCATGCTAGAGAGATCTCTGTGTTTACAGAAAGGCGGGATCAGAGTCACGCTAAGGAATAACGAGATAAGTGCTTTGCCTAAGTGATTGAATTTAAAAAGTATGGGCTCTATCCCCTGGATAGGGCTGAGATATTGTAAGTGTGCATCAAAGATGTTATACTCAGAAGGCACTGCCAGAAGTAAGGCTTGGGATTGAGGGGAGACAGCACTCTCTAAGGATCACCTTTGAGCAGGCCTTTCCAAAATGTTTTTTCTTTGTAAAATGATATGAGGACTGTCAGATACAGTACATGAACTGGCATGAATCCTGTAAATGATTAAAAAAACAGAAGCAGAGCTTACTTTTGCAAATTAGCAATCGGTTCCTGCTTAAGTAGATAAATCATGATTTATTAACTTTTGAATATGAATTCTAATGACATAAATGTACTTTTTGGGCATTCTTCAAATGTGTAATATATTTAACCCTTTTTCAAAATGTAATATCATCATAAAGATTCTTGAGTTACATTACTCAAAGAACTTGGGTACATTTGACAAAAGTGTCAAAACGTGAAAAATGTCAAAACTATGTGGAATGAGCACCACCCTCATTCAAAGCTTTGATCTATTTGTTGGATGAGGTTCATACATATACTAGTACAAGAGCTATTTTTCCTTAGAGGAAGCCCTAACTAGTGTGTCTCTTTCACTAAGCCTAATTGAAATATCAAAGCATGTCATGGCATTAGTGATGGGCTAAAGTCTTTCTAGTGTAAGGCTTTAACAGACTACCAAACAAACCTCAATTTGGTGCAGAGACAGACAAGGTTACTTCAGGTCCTTTTTCATTGGAGACTTTTGTGCTATAAATATGTATTATTGTTTTTGGTTTTTATAGTTCATGCTCAAAAATGAAAGTTAATTATACATTTATAAAAGTGTGTAAAGCAGGTTGAATCAGTTTATATGCATGTTAAAACGATGGGGGTGTGGTAGTTATGATTTAAACACTTTTCTTTTTACCCCAGTTTGCCCTGCCTTTCCGTGTCAGCTTATACAATCTCTATTTCTCCTGTAAAATGCAGAACCTTCTGTTAAGCACGGAGGAATCCCTTGTAATAGGAATCAGCAGGGAACAAGGCTTTAATGCTGTGTAAGTCCTCAGCGCTGCTAAACGGATTGACATGGTTTATTATTACACAGCATCTTGCAGCAGATGTAGAGCTAATAAAATGTGAAGTTATGACCGACAGCCTGCTGTTCCTGAGTTTGGATCCAATAACCCCAAAACATTCCCCCGTAAGTCCCACAGGCACTGCCTGAAAACCTCCAGAGCTAATCCATTGGTATCTGTGACTTTTCAACACGGTGGCAAGCACCTTGTTACTTGAGCATTTTTCAGACTTCACCATCATTAACATCAACAGAGCATTCCTTCTGCATTGAGGTGAAAAGACTTGTTCTAGTATAACTACTTGCCTAATTTCTAAGGTGAATTTTTGCAGTGTTAAACGACACCTACATACTGTAAATACTTAGGTAATCGTATCACCACAATTGCTAAGAGAAATGTTGGATTTGTAATGCATTACAACATGTTTTGTAATATTTTGTGTTCTTTGATGTCATTAAAACTCTTTTTTTTAACAGTTTTTGTTCTTAAATTACACTGTGTTTTCTTACTGTTTTTCTTAAAACACACCGTGAGAATATTCACTTTTATAAACATGCTGAAGAAAGGATGTGGGAGTCAAACAAACTACCTAATCATGTTGTTGATGCAGAAATTCTGTCTTCTTTCAAGAAACAGCTGGTTAAGATCCTTGGATCAATTATCTACTGAACAGGCTAAATGGGCTGAATGGGCTTCTCTCATTTGTAACCATTCTTATATCCTTGTAAGTCATTACTGATAAGAAGATAACACATGATAATACTAAATAACCAAAATGGGTAACCCAAATAAAATGTCATACCACAATGTTTGTTTACCATGAGAACAAAACAAAAGAAGAAAAAATGAACTGTACAGTCAAAAAAACAACTCACAATGAAACAGCAAAAAGTCATATTTTATCAGTTCCATTGCTTGTGTTTTACTTACTGTACCTTTTTAAAAAAAAATACTTTTTGTCACAATTTTACTATATTCTTCATAATGTTTTTTTATACAAAAGTGGAGAGGTAACACAATATTACAGCACTCAAAAAGAGAATATTATAACCAAGCAGTCAACATCAGATTTTACTGTCTTTCTTTTAATAGAAATGAGATGAAAAATAATGGAGGAATGAAGAATTAACAACTTTCTATATTGCTCATGGTTTCCAGACTCTGAACAAAGAGGTAATGTTTCACCATAACGTTTTAATTACATTGTAAATAAACTAGATGCTAATTAGTAGAAATATAATAAGAATAATGTCCTTTAAAGAACTGGAAACATGATTTATTTATGTAAGATACAAATGGAGTTTATAAGAGAATTTTACAGTATTTTAAGGAATAACTCCTGTTTTTGATATCCGTAGATGCAAGTTTTGAATCAAAATAATAATTTTGAAAAGAAAACCAATTTTGTCATGATACATTATCATTTAAGTCACAGCTTTAAGAAGAAGGACATTACTATTAACAGTGGCTCTTAGTGGTCAGCCAGTCTGCACCAACTTGAACGTTGAAAAAAGCACCGTTGGTACACATTTAATATCTTACCCCTAAAACAGAAAATAATGATTTAAGGGAACAATCAGTGCAGTTTTAATAATGTGAAATTAGGCATGACTAAAGGCAAGTTATAACCTGTCAGTCATACAATATTAATGCTCTAAATTTATTACAAGGAAATAACCATTTGCATGTGTAATTTATATACCCTAACAATAATTTGCTAGTGGAAAACATTAAGGAAATATTTTGTGATAATTTACAAGAGTTATGACCAAAATGTTTTTCTTCTGGTTTTGAAAATGTACTGCTAATAACAATTGGTTCATTAGTTGTGTTTCAATAAAAAAATACATATTGAAACATAACATTCAAAACTATTTAAGTGTAGGCTACTGTAAAAATATCTAAACAGCTGGACTGGATTTTTTCAATGAAGCTTATAAGAGGAAGTGATGGTTACAACAATTTAACATATTTCTTTATACAAAATGTAAGATATATAATGGAAGTAAAATATCAACAAAGTGAGACCATAGAACCCCCTTTGTCAAATTAAATAATACATTAAAAACCACAGAGAAAAGATTTCCGTAAAGAAATAATTATTTCTAAGATATATAGATAAGGCAAATTTCATAAATATTGACATATTGACAGTGACAGAGACCCTAGGATTTGAGCAATGAGATCCACAGATGTGGTGTGACACAAGAGATGTTTTTGGTAGAGCAAGAAAAACCTGAATCAGCAGACCGAACATTGAAGTGCTGAAGAGCACAGTAGCCTATACTCATCCAAAAAGCTATTATGGTAACTTGGAACAAGACCATTCAGTTACCTTACAGCCAGACAACACTGAAGTCTAGTCTAAATTTTACAGGAAGCCAGTGCAATTCCCAAATGAAATGAATTATATTCTGACTAAGAGTGTAAGAACTGCAGCATGCTGAATATTATGAAAAATGCTTAATGCTTAAATGAAAACCCTTAATCAAAAGTAAGACCAAGGTCTCTAATATCCTTCAAGTGGTTAATTTTAGCACTACTGACAAGGGCACTGAAATCAATGTGTTTAGCTTTACAAGGCTGATGCTGGGGTCTAGGAGCTTAACTTTGGTTAAAGTTTATCTAAAGAATAAGAAATATGTTGTTTCCATACCCTAACATTAGATTGACCACTGTAAAGTGCAGAAACTGCAGAAGAAGTGGCTGATTTGGTCTGCAGGTAAATCTGAGTATCATCAATATAGTAATTAAACCCCAGTCCTTGATGCCAAATAATCCTGACCAAGAGACAAAACATACAGTATGAATTCTAAATAGTAAGTGTCCCAGCACAAAACCCTGAGGGACTCCTTGAGTACACCTTAAATCAGCATCAGATTTTAAAAAAACATGATTCTTCAGCTAACCAAAAAAGAGGAAACTGTCAGCACATTACTGACTAAATTGGTCAGTCAAAAGGTCTAAAGAGCTCCTTTAGATGCAAGATTAAACTGTAATTTAGCTGCAACTGTCAGTTTCAGAATATTTGCAAGAAAACCTGGAAACTAGATAGTATCTGTTTAATACTACAATACCAGTTTTTTTAGCAAAACCCATTACAAGACTCATTGAAAGTCTTTCAATGGACAAAGTATGAAATACGTACTGTAGTATGAAATGGACAAAGAGGAGAGAACCTCGCTTTGAGTAGGGACATAGGAATGGGGTCCAAAAAACAGAGAGTTGGTCTTAATTTAGCTGCCATCTCAATCACAAATGTAAAATTGCCATTGGTAAAATAAAATAAATTATATCTTGATGTCACAGAAACCAGTACAACTTCTCCTGAGATGGTGAAAAATGTGTTTATAGTAACAAAGAATGGGTTGTTTGTGACCATGCAAAGAAACTTTAATGAAAAGCTTTGGTTTTGTGAGTCACTGACATTTACCACAGAGACTTTGAGACTTTCCTTCTGGTTTCTTGATATGAAAGCTGATTCACCGATATCAATGGGTATGAATCTATGACAGTTTCACTGGGAGGGGAGTACCTAAAAGATCATTATCCATTTCATTTATGTATCATGTAATGTACTGTAACTGGTTTCTTGTAGAATATTAATTGAATGCAGTGGACGGCACATTAAACATTTTGAAATTAAGTATGAACTGCAGTAATATGATAATATTTAACACAACATTTTGATATGCAGTATATAACAACTTACTAACTAAATTGAGATTAGATAAATTGAAAACAACACTAGAAGATGAATGCAGAAATAAACAAAAACTTTTGTACTCACTTCCCACACGGAGCGTAATTTGATCCCTCCGGTCTCCGTGTGGATTCTCGAAGCAGCTGTAGAATCCATTATCGCTTATGTTGGCCCCTTTCAGGATCAGCCTTGGGCCTTCCTCCACTTTTTCCCGTTTCACGTCGGTACCGTTCACTTTCCACGTCACGGAGGCATCGTTGTCTAATGTGCCACACTGCATGGTTACATCACTTCCAATTTTCTCATACTGGATTCTCGCTCCTGTGGGGCAAGAGGCCAGACAGTTTAGTCTTAAAGTGTACAAAAATATAAGGGAAATAGCCACCACATAATGTTACTTATAGCTCTCTCCTCAAATAAATGAACTGTCTTTTCCAGAGCCTCAATTTCCTGGCTACATGTTGCTTTGGAATCAGCTTCCTGCTCTCAGTAGTAGCTCTCAATAATAACCAAGCCTCAATATGTAGAAAAAGCAATAAGAGGTCTAAAATGATTAAGGAAGAAATGAGGAAACATAGATGTAATTCATTTTTGTTTTGTTTGTACAACATGTAAGCAAAGCAAAGGCTCAAGCAGGAAACTCAGTTTCTGTCCACAAAATACAATATAAGAACCTCATCAAACCACATCAGACATTTCCAGTTTACTAAATGTAACTGCAAGCAAAATATTTTTTTTAATGTTAGCTAATGCCAGTAAGTTTTTCTTGCTTGTTTAAATATTCATCCAGCACTCGAGTCTGTGACTTTGATGTAGAATGGGCAGCAATCCTGGGATGAGGACTTGTTACTGTTCAGACAACCTAGTCAATGACTAATTACTCAGAGGACAGGCACAACTACAAAGATTTCAAAGACCAAACAATATAATCACACTGTAATGTGTTTAACTTGCCATAACTGATTTAGTTAAATTAACTGTGCTGACCAAATCTGAGTGTTTTTCATATTTCATTTAAAAAGGAATGGGTACAGATCTTTTTGGTAAATTGAGGTGTTCTTTTAAATGCAATCTTTCTTTTTCTTAATTTTAGGTTTTGTCATTATTTACCTTTTGTCAATTAATATGTTGACAAAAACCAAGTTACAGCAAGGGCATACAATCAGTTAATTGAAGTATTGACAGTCAAGGACAACCATTTCCACACACTTTTTCAACTAATGTAAAATATATATTTGTGACTAAATGACTGCCAGATTATCACAGTGATTGGTGGCGAAATAAAGTGAAAATGAACTAAATCTGTTGAACTACTTCGTGAACAGTCCTTACTATTTTCCTTGTGTGGAATCTAGGTTATTACAAAAAGTAAACAGAGAAAATTGCTTTTTTCATTTTACTTTGGTAAAAACAAATGTTCACTATCAAATGGAAATGGACTTTACTACAGTACAAATGGAACTGATAAAACCGTGCTCTCTCAACATTCCCTGAGGAAATACAAGGTGCTTTTCATGAACACAGTAATAGTACTTGCAGTATAATAAGGTATTATGTCCTTGTTGTATACTCTGTGGTCAAAATAAATAAATAATTGAATAAATGAAGTAGCCTAAAAATCAGAATTAGAGTAACTTTGTCTTTGTTAAGACTACTGTTCAAAAACTAGCTTCAAACACTCATTATAGGAAACAAGTTTCTTTGGCAAAACAATGCCTTGTGAAGTTTGGTTTAAATGTTGATTCAGATAAAGCACTGTCACTATTGTAATAAGGTACACAGGAAAGGTAGATGGATTCTGAGACACTTAATTGCTTTTAAACCAGGTTCATGACAAATAAGCTTTCCTTATATGGCCCAAAGCAGAACTCGTAGTTTTCATATACTGTATGAATGCTTTATTAATAGGTATCACATCCAGCCTAGACAATATAATAACATATTGGTAATCAATAATTATTTTGTCTTTTTATGCTTCAGCAGAGAAGTATGGTTCCTACCCCATTTACTCTTAGCCTGCCAAATGAGATACAGTACCTTTAAAATGAGCAGAGATACAACTCACTAAGATTGATTCAACATTAACACTAAAGCAAATGGCCAACAATGTACTGTAAGGGTTCAAGTCATGAAGTAAACTTTAGTATCCTTCAAGCAAACAGCTTTCCATCCAGTCTCAGCAATATTCAGATCAGGTTTTATGCACTTCAGTCCTTTGGAATGCTGTAGAAATCTACGTCTAGAATTGTCTTAGTCCTGCTTCAGTCTTGTGCTGTAGGACAAAATCCTCTGAAACCATACTGTGGACCTGTTTTTTCCGTGCATAACTAAACAGGAAGATTAAAATCACTGTGCACAAATTGCCATTGCTAAATATATGCTTCATCTTATTTCTGTATTGAAAAAAAGAAAATGTTAATAGAGTCTGTTAGAATTTTTTAGGTTTGTATGTTTCTCCTAAATATTTTCTGACACGTTTATCCATGGGAGCAAAAAGTTGTAAGACATACTGTACAATGCCACTCTGGGAAACTCATATTAGAAAATTTCATTTTCAAACTGGAAAGGCTTTCCTCTTCTGTAGTTAGATAATATTATGTGATTTGGTTGGAGAACAAAATGGATATTATTGAAAGAATGTAATATAGAATCCTAACATAATAACTGCATATCAAAATTCTAAAACTATTTTTTAATAATTCAGTAGTGAAACATTTTGATAAGCTTTGGAATTTCATCATGTATTTCCACTTCTCTTGTCTGCAGTACTTTCTGATTATATTGGCTTGGTTAATTTCACACATAACTGGTATTAAACCTATGCATGCAAATGGAGGCTTCACAGTCCTTTCTTAAACTAATTCTGACATTTTGTTTCTATATTGAATATACATGAGCAGAGTGTTGCCATCTTAAGAGACTAAGAGCCTACAAGGAATTTCCTACTAATAAGCAAAAGATTAAAATTAAATGAAGTTCTCTCTTTAACACTACAAACATTCCATATCCATTCACTGTGCCAATTTTTTTAGAATTAATGGCTGAACTGCACAACAGCAGCTATTGATTATTACAGCATAAACATGGCTTATTTTAAATTCTTAAATTTGAATAATTTACCCTTCTTCTTTTCCTACCTTTTCAATACTTTCCTCAAGAAGTACAGTCTCATTGGCTACATTTTTCTTCATTTTTGTCAGTTTAGTCATAGTGAGACACAAAGTGTTTTTCTGGCCCTTATCTCTAAGCACTCAAAAATGGCAGGGATAGCATGTAAAAGCAGTGATCTTTTTCAGTAAACAATATTAAGAATTTTGTAATTCATCACAGCTGGTATGAATATAATTATGAACATATATTTTGTTATTTGTTATCAACATCATAAAAGTGTGACTCTGTAAGACCTCTCTTTTAATAATTTTGTGTGTGTTTTTTGTATCGCAAAGATTATTCAAGAGATGGTACGGTGTTCTTCAAGAGATGATTGTTTCCTCAATTTTATTAAAATTCAGCAAGCCATGTTAATTGATATCTTGATTTTCAGATAAAACCTGGGGAGGAGAGCCGTGAGTGGGGCCCAAGTGACTACCTTACAAGTGAAATTTCCACTGAAAGCTTCACGAGCCAAAACATCAAGCTTGGAAAGATTTGGAAAAATTTGGCTGGGACTGCAGGGCAAAGGGGAAGAGGCAATGTTCTGGGGTGATTAGGAACAGCTGTCCTTCCCCTCAGAATGAGCCTAATAACTTAAGGAACATGATAATGGAAATACAATGAAAAAAATCATCCATGATATTAGTTGTCCCCTTAAAGTATTAAGAATGACCTACTCTCAATGTTAAGTTGAACATTGGTGGTGATGTCACTGGATCATAGAATGTTTTCCTGGATAGCCAGGAACCTCATACCACCAGAAAACGCTAAGCCTTGGCTCAAAATGTAATATCCATTCCCCACACAAAACTCTCAGAGCAGTAAAGCTAAAGAGAAAATTCAGAAGACAAAAGGTCTACTTGTGAATGAAATTAAGGTAGTTGGATTGTCATGTATGGTGGTTTTGAAATGTAGATTACGTATGGTGCATATTTTGTAAAGGTCTTCTGGGATAAATCACAGAACATCAACATGATTCTACCTCTAAGGGAGCTACTTCTTTTTTGTAGTGTAACTATGAATTAATATGGGACACGGTGGATGAAAACTGGTAGTTTATTTGATGTGAGATTGGTACAGTAATCATTTAGTTCTTTAGATATACAGTACTGTATCTCCACACCTCATAACCTGGTAAAAATATTGTATTTACTTCCATCCAAGGCCCAATACAACATGAATTATCATAAACTAATGCAGTCTTGAATTGAGAAAAATGAAACGAAAATTACATTACAAAGAGTTCTGTGGAAATAATGTCTACAAAATTCTAAAGTGATTGTCAATAATATCTCACCTTCTTCTGTACAGGGAATACTCTTAAATATTGCACTAACTTAACTGGAACTGTATGTTTGAAATCGCGACTGTCTGCTGCCTCACAATTCTTGGGCACTTCCAATGGGGGTTCAATTCCAGGCTGTGGATGCGAGGAGTTTGCATGGTGTTCCCGTGGGTTTTTATTCAGGGCTCTGGTTTACTCCCACTGTTCAGATACATTCTGTCTAGGTTACTGGTGGCTCTAAATTTTCAGTGAATGTGTCTGTCAGTGTCCTATGATCCACAGGGCAAGGGCAGGGCTGGTTTGAGCCCTGTTCTTTTGTCACAATCCTCACAGGGATGAAAAGATTGCAGATATACACATTTTTGTTAGCTTCTTGAGAGCTCACAGAAAATCTTAATTTTATTTTATTATTAAAAAATATAAAATATGCAGTAAAAGTATCACATTTGTTTTGTAATCTCACTAAAAATTATATCATAATCAATTAATCTAAACATTATATTTCATATAATGTATGATTGCACTAAACTTGAGCCAATAAGCAATGCTGTAAACATTCTGACAATTATGTATTTGAAGTCTATCATTCACTTGACTGTATTTTGTGTTATACTCTACTTATACACAGAAGTACATTTTTGGTACTATTTCCATGGAATCTCAAAGATAAGTAATAACTAAATTAGTTGTATGTTCAGTTATGAGCTCAGATACTTAGTGTTCTCACCATCTTCAGGGAAATTTGGAGAACAAAAAATCATTAGAAGTGTGTTCTGCTTTGAAGGTCTCAGACTTATGGCAGCTATTTTTTTTTATGACTAATTCTTCTACTTTGGCAGCATCCCCGTTATTCATTTGTAAAACTCTCCCCTGACACAGAAAG